GGAGGCTGAGGCACGCAAATTGCAAGTTCAATGCCAGCCTCAGCAACTTGGCGAGATTCTGTCTCAAAATAAAAAAGGGGCAAAGGATGTGGCTCAGTGGTTCAGTGCCCCTGGGTTCAACCCTCAGTACCAAAAACAAGGAAACTTTACGGAGAATCTTAAATGGAAAATCAGTCCCGAGTGAGAAATATCTGCAGAAATAAATATAATGCAAACCAGGCAGTGCTGTTAAATTCTAGCCAGTCACCATTACCCCACCACCTTCTCCCTGAAAAAGAGATGGGTGCTGCCAGTGGCAGAAATTGTGCCTAGCATGGGCAAGGCTCTGGGTTCAAAAGAGAAGGAGGGAGAAAGAGATGAACAGGTATTCCAGCAGGTCAGCATTGCTGGACACTTTCTTTTTGACATACTTAGAAGAATGAAGATTCCAAGAAAAAAGAAAGAATTTTTTCCCAGTTACTTGGGAGGATGAGGAAAGAAAAATGGCAAGTTTGAGGCTCAGCCTGAGCAGTTTAGCAAGATCCTGTCTCAAAACAAAATTTTAAAAAGAAATCAGGAGGGGCTGGGGTTGTGGCTCAGCGGTACAGCGCTCACCTCGCACATGCCAGACCCTGGGTTCGATCCTCAGCACCACATACAAAAAAATAAATAAATAATCAAGTGAAATAAAGGTGTAAAGGTGTTGTGTCCAACTACAACTAAGAAAAAAAAAGGAATCAGGGATGTAACTCAGGGGCAAAGCAATTGCCTAGAAAGCACAAGGTCCTGGGTTCAATCCCCAGCACTGCAAAATAAATAAATAAATAAATAAAGTAAAATATAAGGGGCTGGGGCTGTAGCCCGGTGACCCAAGAGTGGCCTAGCATGTACAAGGTCCTAGGTACTGAAAAAAAAATTTAAACAACTTCCTTGCAAGATACAAAATCATTTAAATTTTCTATTCATTATAATCATTTTTAAAGGACTAGGCAGATATTTCCGTTTTAGTGTCTTAAAATTCAGTTTAAGAATAGAGCAGATTGGGGCTGGGGATGTGGCTCAAGTGGTAGCACGCTCGCCTGGCATGCGGGCAACCCGGGTTCCATCCTCAGCACCACTGACAAACAAAGATGTTGTGTCCGCCGCCGACACAATATTTATTTATTATCTGCAATATTTATTTTTAGTAAAAATAAATATTTTTAAAAATTTTAAAAAGAATAGAATTTATTAAAAAAAAAAAAAAAGAAAAAGAATAGAGCAGAATCAGCGTGATTTACACCACTTTTCTCCAGAAGTGAGCTCTACCTTGGTGTCCTGGGAAGGATGTGGCAGAGATCCATTCTGGATCTCGAATGGCAGGTTTAAGAGCCACATAAAGTCTGCATCCTACTCCCTCAAGTATGATGGTGACAGTGACATAAAGATAGTATCTTAGGGGCTGGGAACATGGCTGAAGCAGTAGTGCGCTCGC